GACATAGATTTCTATACTTTAATTACTTGTAAATAAAAATTAATAAGCATCTTTTCTCTTAAAAACAAGTATTAGGCGCTAATAGGCTATAGTTAGCGAAAACAACACAACCTAAGTATAAACTAGACTAAAATAACTCTAGAAGCACTAGACTAAACAAGGTAAACTAAATATAATAGTAAATTAAGCGTAACACATGCGTTCGTAAAAGAAAATCTAAGTTAGAAGCTTAAAGAAAGAAAAACATAGAGGTTTCTATACTAGAAACTAAAAGTAACGGTAATCTAGATAATGTAGGAAAACCTAGTAGAAACTAGCTTAGAAAAAATCCTTTCTACCCTAGAAACTACATAAATAGAAAGAATTAGCCTAGCATAAGCAGTATAAATTCCTAGGAAATAGAACAACTATTAAGATATATTTAAAACTCTAGAGAACCTAGAAGAAATACCTTCTTATTAATTATAGGATTATAAAATTAACCTTATTCTAGATGTAAAACAAAAGGTGTATAAAATAAAAGCTATAATAAAGGCATAAAAAGAAGCGTTATAAGCATAGATAAACAAGATACTAGTAAAAGTAAAAGTAAAGTAGCATTAGCAGTTGTCTTTATGCTAAAGAAGAGTAGCTAGCTATAGGTATGCTAGAACTATAAAACTGTAAACAAAAACATAATTAAAAGCTAGCACCTCTTGCCTATTATCTAGAATATTATAGACTAACTATAAGAAACAAAGCATATAATAAAATTTAATAACGTACTTCATAGGCGAGTTGCTTACACACCTAAGTCGCTTACTTTTGCTAAGACCCCACCCTAACAAACTCTATTATAGCCTATAACAACCCGCTCTGGCACTATATAGTACAGTACAGCCTAGAATATTATTTAAATACTACTTCTGCTTCTTACTTACATGTTTGTGTGTTATGCCTAGTCTAATTGCACTGTCTGCAGCGCCTTTAGAATAGCTTACCTACTTTAGCTTGCACCTGCTTCTTTGCCTTTTTCCTGTTACTGCGCGCTCTAAACTCCTTTAGAGCTGTTAAGCGTAGGCTTTTTTAAATTATTAAAGTTTTTTCTACCTTAATCTGCTTTTTTTTATGTAATTTATGTTATATAGTAGCCTTATTAGCTGCTTAAAGCTTAGTAATTTCTTATTACACTAACACTAGCTTATATGTAATTATTACTGCCCTTTTTAAGACCTTTTTAAATGCCTTAACTATAAAAGTTAGTAAACTATTTATATGCTTTTAAATTCTTATCTTTATAAGCATTAATTATAACCTAAGTTCTAAAGTATTACTTAAAGTTTACAACTACTAGAGCTTGTTATATATAAGTAGTAGTAGTAATAAAGTGCGCAACTTTACATTAAGGCCTATTATAACCTATTATAGGTTAAAAAGAACTAATCTAGCGCCTTAGAACTTTTCTTAGATATTACTAAAAGTAATTATAGCATTATAAGCTACTTTAAAGCATAGTAGAAACTTTATTTTTATAATATAAGTAATTTAGTTGCGCATAAGGTTTTTAGCTTAGCGCTTATACACTTTCTTTAAAAAAGTAAAACAACTTACATTAAGTAGCTATAAAAAGTGTAATAAGTAAAAAAGCATATAAATAGTAATAATCTTATTATTTTTATAGTATTACTAAAAATAAAGTAAGTTATAGCTCTTATAGCTGTTAATAACTAGTAGATAGTAGCTACTAACAGTACACTTCTTTATATACACATTAAAGTGCTTTAACTAGTTTAGACTAAGCTAATTAGTAGTCTAGCTGCACTTAAAGATTATAATAACTTAATCTTAAAGTAGATTTTCTTTTTTATACTAGTTTAAAAAGTAGTTACTACTTTAAAAAATAATAAAAAGTAAAATAGCCTACTTTTTAGTATTAATGCCCTAAATAGCTGTTGTCTACTTCTAGTTACCTAGCTAGACTGCTTTTAGCTGTCTTTATCTCTCTAAACTTGTAATAACTGCTCTAGTAGATATCTAGCCTATTATAAACTTTATCTTATTAAAGTTATACATGTTATTATTCTAGATGCTATACTTAGCTTTAATATTTTTTATAAAGTTAAACTAGCTTTAAATTACTATAAGATCTTTATAAAAAGCTTTTTTAAAGTTATACTTACACTTAAACTTTACTTTAAACTCTAAGTAACACTTAATAAACATATTAAGCTAGTTTATGCTAACATAGCTTATATTATGCTTAGCGTGTAAAGAATTAGCTATATTAGCTACAGCTGCTAGCTAGGGGGGAAATCCTTATGTATCTAGCTTAAGTATGTGCTAAATAATTACCTACTTCTTATTATTAGTTAGCTTTTTAGCAGTTAGCTGTATAATTAGCTTAAAAAAGTTATCTAGTGCGTTAGTTACTTATTATTTTTTAAAAAACTCTATAGATAGCTGCAGCGTGTTACTTAAAAAGGGTTGTGTTTTATTTAAAAGCTTAAAGCATAAGCTACATTTAACATTCTTTTAACATGTTTAAGTAGTGTTATTAGAAATGCATTAGTGTAGGAAGAGTAGTGTAGTAGGGTCTTAGCAAAAGTAAGCAACTTAGGTGTGTGAGCAACTTGCCCATGAAGTACGTTATACAGGGTAGCTTTAATAAAATAAGAATCTACAAAGAAGATAAATACCTAACAGCTTTTAAAACTCTATAGAGACTGTATAAATTACTAGTAATGCTGTTTAGTTTAATAAATACTCTAGCTACCTTCTAAAGAATTATTAATAAACTACTATCTAAATTCTTTAACATATTTATATTAGTTTATTTAGACAACGTTCTTATCTACACTAAAAACACTTATAAAGACTATGTTACTAAGGTAACGCTAGTACTAGACAGACTATGCTAACATAGGCTACATCTATAGCTTAGTAAATGTAAATTTAATGTCTAAGAAATAGAATACCTAGGATTTATTATTTATAGAGAAGAAATTAAGATTAACTTAAAGAAAATATAAGTAGTTATAAAATAGCTAGAACCTACTAATGTAAAAAGCATATAAGGATTTCTAGAACTCTTAGAACACATCTGCTAAATAATAAAGAAATACTCTAGAATAGCACAACATCTTACAAACGCTATTAAAGAAAGAGCTTAAAAGAAGTTTACATAGACTTTAGAAATAAATACTATCTTTTTAAAAATTAAACAAGCTATTAGTAAAGAACTAGTTATTAAAATGTACAGCTTAGCTTTTAAAACTAAAGTATATACAAATGTGTTAATAAAAGTAGAAGAAGTAGTATTATATTAAAATAGAAAAATTAAATATATAAATATTATAAATCTCTAATGTTTAAACATCTAGAATTAGAACACTAAGTAAAAAGCTAAAAATTAATGTGTTACTAAGCACTTCTAAAGCTTAAGCAGCTGTGCATAGAAGTTCTAGCTAAGTGTAATGTTTGTAAGAAAAACAACCTAAGATAATATAAACTATATAGTAAACTCTAAGCTATTACTACACTAGAGCAACTATAGACAATAGTAATAATAGACTTTATTATAAGACTACTACTATTACAGAAACTAAGCTTAGAATAGTTATGTAATATAATAGCTATAGTACTAGAAAAAACTATAAAGTTTCTATATATATATAGCTATTAGAAAAAACTATTACTGCTGTAACAGCTTGTACCGCGTTACATGCTCTGCAGCTTAGCTCTCTCGCTTGCGCAACAAGTAGCGCTTTAGCAAGAGGCACACATGTATATCTTAAACTTGTAGGGCAGCTTCTCTACTGCTTTGTTTAATCTAGTTAAGTTACACTACCTCTTGCTTGTAGCTTAAGCGTGCTAATTGTAACATTAGATTAAACTCTTTAGGTAACATAAAAGCTTAAGTACATACGCACATGCACACGCCTAAGTTTTTTTAACACACGCACACGCACACGCACACGCACACGCACACACTCACGATTCTAGGTTAAGAGACAGTAACATACCCTGTTATATTAAAAGTAGAGACAGAGCGTAACCTTCACGCACATAATCCTAGGTTCTGCTAGAGATAGGTTAGCTTAGCTGCTACGCTCTAGCTTCTACTGCCTACGCACACGCGCATAATATAGCTTAATTCTACCGTGTATAGAATAACCTAGAGCCTATATTGCAGGCTACTATACTACTACTGCTATTAGATGATAAAGAATAAGGTTAATAAGGCTATAAAATAATTCTCTAGTAGCTATAATAAGTATATACTAATTCTAATAAGATTTATAAGGCTTAGCAGACTTTACATAAGCTATAATAAAACAAAAGTAAGCTTTTACTAGCTTATAACATACTCTATAAGCAAGTTGCTTACACACCTAAGTTACTTACTTTTGCTAAGACTCTACTAAATACATTATAACAAAGTTTATATAAATTTTAATGTTAGGTAACGTTTAAATGCGGTAATCTTTTTAAGCCGAGGCATTTCCTTTTCTAGAACGACTCTAGAGAAGCTAGCCTAGAGAATTAATTATAGATTTCACTTGCTAGCGCTCGCGAAATAATTTAATGTAATTGTGTATAAGAATTACAACTTAGACTAAATTAGACACTTCTTAGACTTAGATATAGTTAAACAAATAATTAATACAATATTATTAATAAAGCTATTACTAGCAAAAGTAAGTTTTCTAATATAATATAACAGCGTAGGCAACACAATAAGTCTAAATACAGTAGGAATCCACTTAGAGGCATATAGAAGTGCGTGGGGATTTAATAACCTAGGAATTCTATTAACACCTATAGGCCTTGTACAAAAGGATATTAGAAAACTACTAAGCTAGCTAAGGGGAGAGGTGCGACTAAATACTTGGGAGAATAGGGGTAACCGCAGGTGGCAGGGCCGAGTCAGGGTCGGGGCCGATACGGGGACCCTTCGGATAGGGTCTGAGCAACCCGAGATGGAACGATTCATGAGAATCATTACAAAGAGAAGCAATTAGCTACATGACTACCTTTCCAGCTCTTTCTGTGTCTGTAGAAGGAACATTCTTAACAATCATTCCCATGCGAACCGCCCAGTCGTCCCGCCCTGTTTCTGTAATCAGGTCGTTTGCAAGATCTAGTCGTCGTTTATACGCTTTAGGCTGCGCAGCTACCTTGACCAGGTGGCCATGCATCTGTAGTTCGTCCGTCGAGGTATTCGCAATCGCTAGCAATCCAACCGACCCGATCAAAAGAGCCAAAAGCAATATCTTCCCAAACTGATGGATGTTACTCGCTAAGGCGGCTGCAAGATAAACGGTAACCGTAGCTATTGCCGTAACTCGGCTCTCAAAAGTTGATTCGTCTCTGAGCCACTGGCCAGATGTCACAGCTTTAAGGTGGTCAACCAAGCCCTTCATCCTTATCCATCTGTCCTGACTAAGAAGGATTAACAAATCTCCATTTTCGTTGCCTTCCGACCGCCCAAACCACCCGGGATTGCTCCTTCGTGATATCACGAAGGCGTTAATGGCCCGGGCTCCAATGAGAATTCCGACCACGGCGATTCCCCACCAATCTCGAGCTAGAGCCATAAGGATGATAGCCACGATGCCCCAACTCACGGCCATGAAGTACGCAGCTCCAGAGACAAAATTCAGGTTATGTAATGGAACAACCTTCGATGCCATCTTCGCCCACCATTGCTTGTGGTCGTCGAGCTTGGTAACCTTGAGGGTGGTGAGGTGGCCTGTGCGCCCCACTTTCTGGAGGTAGTACACCGTGGCCGGGTTCTCTACTCGAAACACATAACCCGTTGTTAGCGCACCACGTGCCGGGTACTCGCCATTATGGAGATCGGTGGCCCTTTGCTGAAGGTGGATGCCCGGTACTAGCACGAGCAGGTCCAGAAGCGACGAGGTCCCAGTTAACGCGGTTCGCTCTTGGACCGTCGTGAGGTCAGCAAGGGCGATAAGCCCAGCCGCATCTAGTGACATGGCTGGTGTCTTCGGGTGGATATGGGTATCAAATTTCATCTTTATCTAAAGATTATTAGGAACTTCGACCCTGTTCAAGAGCCAGGCTACGTACCTTATCCGGGATGTACATCAATCACGTACTGTTGCAGATTTGACGCCTTTTGAGCAACCTTCCTAGGAGTAGGAGTCTCGGAATTCCAAAGACATAATCTAGGGCGTCGGGGATGGGGTGTCTTTCGAGTACTTAGCCTGATGGGATTTATTTCCTTTTCCGCCAAAAGTCGCTCGAGGAGGAGCCGAATATATGCTCGCAAACAATGAAAAAGGGCTCAAATGTGAAATCAAGAGGCGCGGAGGGGCCAGAGGTTTTTGAGGGGTTGTGGCTTCGTCAACGCCTACTCAATGGGTTCCCAAGGTCGAAAGGATTTATCCTCATGGCAGGGATAGGCTGAGGGGCGGACCAATACCATTCTGCAACACGCCGCTATTAGGTAGGTATTTCTCAGCCTCGGGTGCCAGACTTCCACAGGCTTGCGCTGCCGCCTCCATAAAAACAAAACCACTTTTTGAAAAAAAATACCAGGTGCATAGGGAAGAGCAAAGTTCATCCCACCCTTTCGGATAATCTCGTGCATCCAGCCATGATCAAGCTTTATTGGCAATATTCAGGAAGCGAGATCTGTGATTTACAGGTTAGAGAGTGCCTTAGATTCATATAAAGTTCATCCAACCTGCAGTCTCAGACTCTTCTTAAAATAGTCTTTATCTCGTAGTTTCTTTTTATCTAGCATTGCCCATTGACTTAGCCGCAACCACATCTTGCTGTCATGGCAGGCATACGCCTATACGATTATCGGAAGCTGACACCGCTTGATAGCGGTCAGATACGCTTGCTCAAGCTCCATCCGGGAGAAGTTAGCTCTGAACTCAGAGGTCAGCTGATCGTCAACAATATTAAGTCTACCAATAGGGGGCCTATGGGGTATCAGACAAAGAGTGGCAATGACACAAGAGCTGGCGCTTCTACGATAGAGTCGACCATGGACACCAGAGCCTATCAGAGCAACACGCCTTCGCAGAGCTACCGAGCCTTGTCTTACACATGGGGAACAGGTCATCCGTCCAATCATATTACCATCCTTCACGACAATGAGCCCTATACGATTCCTATCAAACCCAATCTGGAGGACGCTCTTATCCAACTCCGCTCAGCTGATGTTGCGCTATTCTTCTGGATTGACGCGTTATGCATGGATCAAAACGACAATCAGGAAAAGAGCTCGCAGATACCGATGATGTCCGAAATATACAAACAAGCCGCCAGTGTGTGTATATGGCTGGGCCGAGAAGAGAAGAAAAGTGACTTGGCTCTGTGTTTCATCAAGCGTTGTGTCAACCTGGACGACATCGACCACCTTTGTCAGGATCCCAAATACGCGGAGGAGTGGGATGCATTACTATCTCTGATGAGGAGACCATGGTTCAACCGGCGATGGATCGTCCAAGAGCTAGTACGAGCGACCACGGCCATCATTTATTGCGGCAACAAGTCTCAACCGTGGCAGGAATTTGCCGACGCTGTTTCACTGTTTTCGTTCAAACAAGATGATATCCGAAAGCTCTTCCAGCGATCGGAACAGTATAATCATCACCCAGACTATATTGGTGATCTGGACGAGTTAGGAGCAGTGAAACTTGTGTATGCTTGGGACAACGTTTTCCGGAAGTCTGAGGATGGCCTCTTCCACGAGAACCTATTATCTCTAGAAGCCCTCGTGTCGTTTTTGACAGTATTCGAGGCTTCTGATCCTCGTGATACTCTATACGCCATCCTTTGGTTGGCCAAAGATGCGAAACCTGTGGATAGACACGCTACTAACTGGGGAGAACGTTTAAAGGATATAATCCGCGAAGACCAGAATAGCCAGAGGGAACAGTTTGTATGGGAAAAGGTTGAGTCTCCACTTACTTTACCGAGGCTCGGGTCCGACATCGACTCCCGCAGGAGACGCGCATCGAGTGGGAGCATGAGCGAGTATGACGGACAAGATGACTCACAGGATGGTCGCAGCGTACTTAGCGGCAACTTGCTACACTCAGACCCAGACAGCCTGCATATAAGTGCGGCCGTGAACCCTCTCGAAGCGGTGGTAGAACAGGATGAAAACTCCTACCCTACCAGAGTTGAGGCGCCGCCGATTCGCATCACTCAACATCTCACTGAAATATCGGGAAATACGGCGGGACGTAATCCGAAGGGATCGTTATCCAAGGATCAGGCTCGAAAGGCTAAGGGAGTGCTCAGGAGAATGGTTGGGAGCATTGAAGGTCAAAGGGTCATAGTCAACTACGAAAAGAGCGTCTTTGATGTTTGCCGAGATTTTCTAGAATTCGTTATTCTACGATCTAAGTCCCTAGATATTCTATGTTATCCCTGGGCCCCCGAGCCGGATAGAAACAAAAACGAGCGGCCCCTCCCCACCTGGATTCCAAGCCTTCGCAATAGCGCGTTTGCCGTTGGGCCAAACCGAGCATATCGTCGGGTGAATGCCGATCCCCTCGTCGGCAAACCCGGGTTGGATATGAAGGTATACAATGCGCATAAAGATCATCCCGCTACTGGTTGGAGCGTATTACCAGAAAACCCGCGTATTCTAGTTCTCCGGGGAGTCGTGTTGGACACAATAGGACAGAGATTCACGCCAGCAATTGAAGGTGTGATTCCTCTGGACTGGTTAGACGCTGTAGGCTGGACTGATCCCAAGGTCTCTCCACCAGACGTCTTCTGGCGTACTCTGGTTGGGAATCGAGATGCGCATGGAAAACGACCGCCCTCGCATTGGAAGCGTGCCTGCAAGGATACATTTAGCCGGCGACCCCAGAGTGGAGACCTCAACAGCAAGGATCTCTTGTCATATAACTGCCCTTCTGCTGTATATCATTTCCTCAAACGCATGCAATGCGTCACGTGGAAGCGCAAGCTCGTAATGTTCGAGAAACACAGAATGCCGAACCATCTTGGTCTCGCACCCGCAAAAGTAAAAAAGGGCGATCTGGTATGCATATTACACGGCTGCAGCGTGCCCGTTATCTTGAGAAAGTATGTGAGTGAAAGTTTGCCCGTCAAGGTAGACCAAAGTGGCTGGGGCTCAAGGAACGTCGAGTATGAATGGGTGGGTGAGTGCTACGTCCATGGGTTTATGGATGGTGAGGCTGGCCGACTGCCGGGGAACCCACAGGAGGATAGTGCAACTCTCTCCCCACTTTCGAATCCTGGGGATAGTCTGACTCTCTCCCTTGGGGATAGTGGGAAGTTTTATATTAGATAAAGGAATTCCATAGTATACACGTACTTCAAATATATAAGCACCACCTATACTAGTGGTTTCCTAACGGTACAGGGTCTTTTTCAATCACCACTGTAAGGGCGCTAGTCTTTACAAACGATGATAATGCACCGTGAGGCCGGAAGCGGCTCGTACGACGGTCCTTACGCACAACAGGTATATATACTATTCTGTACCCAGATCAACTGTTGGTTGATTATTGAACCTTTTGGTTGTATTGGCGTAGTGGTATAGAGCTCCGTCCTTATAACCACCATCTTTCCACGACTACAACCTCCTAATAGTTATTAGCTACCGACTTAGACCACCACCAACCGAGAGGATCCCTCGGCCCAGGCCTGTGTCGTGTCGCATTCAGTTAGCAAACCCTAACGCTAGGCGAAATAAGGTACCAAACCGACCGTGAGTCGCCATGCGCGCTACAATTTAAACAAGAGCCTGCACACTAAAGTTTTGTATGCAAAAGTAGTAGCTTTGACTCTAAAAAGAAAGATCCTCACCTCGCCTCTTTAGTAACCCAACCGATAGTAAACTTATAAAACATACATAAAAAGTTAGCAGTTAAAGCTAAATCTAGTTAAGAAATAATAGAGCAGTATGCAAATTAAACTTAACAACCTAGACTAGAAATCTACTCTAGAGACTATATGTACCCTAAAACTAAGAACTTTAAAATACTCTAACCCTCTAGGAAGCTTATATAAAGAAGAATAAAACTATATTAAGTTTTATAAACCTAATAGAATAACTATAAGTTAAAGCTTCTTTTGCATATAAAGATACATCTATAGTTTTATATTTCTAAGTTAGAAAAAACACTTAATAAAATTTCCTTATTAACATAAAAATAAAAAGAGATATAAATAAAGTATAAAGTAAAACAGATTATTAGTAATTAAAAGAATAAAAAAAAGTTCTTAGTAAAATAGTTTAAGTAGCTTACTAGTAAAAATACCTATCTCCCTGCGACTGCTGCGGGTCAGGCCTTGTTCGTCTCGATTGGGCATCGCGCTGGATCCGACCCCCTTTTCGCTCCTCTTTTTGGCCTAGATCGGCGGACTTGACCATGGCGCCACCTATTACGGTATCCGATATATGGCCACGGATCGCTAACGACTGGAATCCGTCAAACAGAACCCCTGGAATCCGTCCCCCATCCTGTGCCTAGATCCTATTATAATAGTAGGTAAACTTTTAGGCTTTAACCTAAACTTGCCCCTGCTAGTGTTTTTTTTGCAAAAATGTATAGATGTGGTGGTGTTTTGCTGCAACCCTAACTGCGCGGTGGATTTTGATTTTCCTGCGCACGCAGGCATCGCGCGCGCATTGCCGCACCAGCTACCAGCGCTCCGCCCGCAGACCACCACCTAACCCAGCGACCACAACAACAACTATGACCGACAACACAGCTCTCTACTTCCTAGCTGGGCTCATGGCATCAATTCTCTAGCGCAGCGACAGCGCTGTTAATTTTATTATTCGTTTTGCTAGGAAACGCGCACAGGCTCTGCAGTTCGCGCCCTAGCGACAAGCCTGCGCCCGCAGACCACGACAATAAAACCACGACAACCACAACAATCACTAACACAATAGGTTTCTCCACCTTCTAGCTGTGCCTAGGACATTAATACCTTAACCTAGCGACTGCGCAGTAGATTTTGATTTTCCTTTGCAGCGACGCGCGCACAGACTCTGCAGTTCGCACAGCAGCTACCAGCCCCGGCTGTCGACAACGACTTCAACTACCACCACCACCACCACCAACGCAACAGGTTTCCCTACTTCCTAGCTCTGCTTAGGGCATTAACGCTTTAGCCTAGCGACTGTTGATTGTAAGTTTGTTTTCCTTTGCGGGGATGCGCGCACTAGCTCTGCCATTGGCACAGCAGCTACCAGCCCCGACTGTCGACCACGACTTCAACTACCA